TCGGGTATTGGGAGTTCGTCCAGAGTTTAGTCATCTCTACCCGCTCAGGACTAAGTATGGCCTAGTAATTGACGCTAGGGATCTTTACTCGCACCAGGCACTGCTGTCAGAGAGAGGTAATTGGGCTCCAGCGAAACTCAGCCGCATGTAGGACCACACCTGTGCGGCCATGTGTGATATGAAGGTTTATAAACGCTAGTGAGTGTGAGAGAAAAATAGTACATTTCTATTGGTGAATGTGCCCCCTCTGTCATTGGGTCGCAAGCGAGTACCCGGTGATGGAAGAGTCGTTTTGCATCGTGCCTACTCCGAAGGGTCTTCAATCCAGCAAACCCGGAGTCCCTCCCCTCCTGCGCCGCCGTCTAGTCACTTCCTGAAGGGACCTGTCTGAGGCAATCCCTGAGTCTCCGGCCGTTCTCGGCGGCCTAGAGGGCGCCAGATATTAATACGTGTCTCGGTTGTCGTCCTGAGTCTCTAATGGCCGTTAGGACCTGAGTGACACGTTTTGGTATCGTCTGGAGTTTTTTTCACCGCGAGTCTCGGCATTGGTCGTCTAGTGTAAATATGACGTCACGTTCTCGTTGTAACTCTCGTTGTAATCGGAGCGGCTCGGAAACACATCTACAGCAGTAACTCATGATGCAACATACACATTAATGCAGCAGCAATATTAATAGAGAAAAATCTGACTTAATAGTAAAACACTGCAAGGGAACATTTTATTGCACCAGGAGCTATCTTGGGACTTTTACTGCGACAACGTTGACTTGCCTGTGAATAAAAAATAAACCATAGTGTTGGTGATCTACAGTGTTGTCATTCTTCTTTGAACACCAGCAAGACCGCTAACACCCTATTTCAACAATCACACTCCCTGTAATTGACATAATTAATAGATAGTTTAGCTTCTCATCATCATTTGCTGTGGCCAACTGATGTTAACGATCGTAACTGAAAGGCTGCTGCCAAACGTAAACATTCAGCCACGTGACATTCAGCCAAACTCTCGCGAGAGTTTTACACAAGACGGATCCTTTCTAGCCATAACCAGTCTGCTCCTTGCTCCCTATCAAAACAAAATTGTTGCAGTAAGATTTGAATAACAAAAGCAGTTAAATAAATAAATTAGCTTTATAATGAATCCCAACAATATGAAAACCAAACAGGGTTTAGAAATATTTTCACTTCATATTATTTTATGTATGTAATATAAAGAAGACATCTCCAATTGCCCGTATATTTAAATACACAAATTAAATAGGTTTACTTTTCTTTCATGTCGTTTACTATTTGGGTGAGTACATTTAAAAACGTATCCAGCTGAAACCGTTGTAGCCGTTGATGGGACGTTACAAGCAGCGCCGTATAGACTGAGAGTTACGTCATCTCCGTTCATCACCGACGTCCTTTCCTCCGGAGCGTCACGTGAAGCGACGTCCGTTTGTGATGACGCCGCACAGCTGTTCGTCTGACAGCAGCTCTGTCCCCGTTATTTTCACAAACACCCCTGCCACACATTTACTGACACAAACATTTTTATCATCTGTTGTAGACCCCAATAAATAAAATCAAATAGGAACTCATTCTCAAAAAAGATAAACGCCATTCTTAAAATGTATAAACGAACAATAGTTTGATTAATATTGATTAGAGTGCACAATAGAAATAAAATAATTGAGAGAAGAAAAAATATATATATTATCTATGAAAACCCAGTTAGATTAACATTCATTGGATTGCACACTTTGTTTGTTTGGATATGTAGCACATTAACATTTCAATAGCACTTAATGACTGACTGAATGGAAATGACAGTAAATGAAAATATAAAACGAAAAAAGCGATCATGAAAATGTTTCCAATAAATGAATAAAATGATTTTTGACCACTTTGTTGTTCAGATATATCACATATTTGTAACTAAATGATACATGAATTGAAACAAAACACAGTTTAAACTGAGGAGTGACTCTCGTGGGTTTCATTTATTTTCTTCACTCCGCTGGGGCACTGCTCTCATGTCAAGAACAAGAAGCAAGATCAGTGCATGCACTGCATCGTCCAATCAGTGAGCGATACACAGTAAGGGGGCTGAGCGAGTATCTGAGGATTTCATCGGAGGATGGACTGGTGGTTCCTCAATTATCGCTTCTCTATTATCGCTCCTCGCTCCTCAATCCTCCGGCAGAAATAAGAGCCATGGGACGGTACTCAAGATGGCGAAGACAAATCAACTTCCGGTGAGACCGAGGACCGAGGAGCGAGGAAATGAAAATAGTCGACCTGAGACAGGGCCGTCTACCCATGTGCAGCCTCGAAATTACCCCCAAACCAAGGACGTGGCCTCGGTGGAATTCCAAGTATGCTGGAGATTGGAACAGTCCTTCGGCGGCACTCGATGACGTAGTATCCTTGAAATATTGGCTTGGATTTCCTCGCGATTGAGAAACAGCCACAGCAGTAGGACTGTTAGCGATGTGCATTGACGAGCAACTGCAGCTACACGGACCAAATTGAATGGCGCACAGTAGGCGGGGCTTATTGAAGATTGACAGGTGCTGAACGAATAGGACTTTAGAATCTGCTGATGTTATGGAAAACATCGACCAATCAGAATCAACAGAGGGCGCAACAGACTCATCGTGGTAAATGTAAACGGTTGAATTTGTAGGTTTAGAGTTTGTAAGTGAGCCTTTTACAGCAAATGTATTGCATTGTTTTCATTTACCAGCTAACGTTACATTTACAGGATACACCGACATTTTATGTGAATGGCATAAAGGTAAACACAATGATTTTGTCAAGGACAGAGCATGTTATGCTGTCAGATTCTTAAACCAGCCTCATGAAACAGCACGTTTATTATCAGCATCTTAAAGTTATGCTTCCATCCATTTATCGTGGGATATGGGGAGCTGCTGTCCACACACTAAAGACAAGGTTTGTTACCAAAATTCACCCTCCATTTTTGTTTTCTCGCCACTTTTAGAGAAGTTGACAAAGGCTACTACTGCATGTTTTTTCCTTAAATATTGATATATTATTTGCTTTAAATTTTAATTCATTCCGTACCCACTAGAGCCCACTCAGCCCAGTGATTATAAAAACTAAGTAAAACAATAGATTTTCAGATTAGATCTATACTCAAAGCACATATTAAACTTTTTCCACATCTTTAAATCCGTTGGTAAATAAGATAGTATGCTTTTTATTTATCCCTTTACCTCTTGATTAAATGCATCCAGATATAATAAATGTTGGTCTTCTATATTTATATTTTATTAACTCATATTATTCTTCAACTCCTTAGATTTTTCAAATTAATATTTTTGTCTATTAATTCAGTTTTTTGCTGTCAAGTTTAAAGTTGTTTATTTATTTTACAGTCCATTTAACTTTTAATTGGCATGTTATCAGCAGAGGAACTCCAACTTGCAGATTCTTATCCACCTGCGAGGGAGTCCCGTTTGGACTGGCAGATGCTGAGAGCATCTTTGCCTTATCATCGGGCCATGGCCGGTGTGGGGTGGCTGTGGTTCGAGCCAGTGGTCCCGCCTCAGCCACAGCTCTGAGATGTATGGCGGGGGTCTCACGCAGCCCTCCTCCTCCACGCACCGCTCTGTTACGCAGCATCAGAGACCCCATATCAAAAGAAGTTCTGGACCGTGGACTTGTCTTCTGGTTCCCAGGTATGTTCCTCTCGATAAAACACACATTTAATTACTTTTAACTACATTTCTGCTATTTGTATTTTGGATATAGTCTACTTTTCACACCATGGATTGCTTTCCCATCAAATAAATCTAATACAGTACAATGTATGGTAATGCTAATGCAGAGTGGTCTTTTTATACCACTCTAAATGTAACAGTGATGGAAAAAAAATGACTTAAAAATGGGCTAAAAAATAGAAAAACAAATTCGGCAAAATACTATTTTAATTATTTTCAACAGCACTGTGTGACTGACTGGTCAATTAAAAATATTTGTGAGATCTTTTGTCTGTCTTGTATTGAATGAAGTATCTTTTGGTGCAAAGTGATGACAGACCAGCTTGATTGCTAAGTATTGATGTCAAGTCCGATCCCTTGTTATAACCTCAGAGCAGTATTGAGTCTTGGAATATCAGTCATATCACCCACTTGTAGCAGCCCGAGTTTAAAGAAAGTGTTCATAACATTTGCTCATCTTGTTTTTTTAAATGACCAAAGACTGTGTTGTTTTCTCCCTCTTTTTATGTCATCAGGTCCACACAGTTTTACAGGAGAGGACAGTGTGGAGTTCCACATCCATGGCGGCCCTGCTGTGATTACTGCTGTCCTACAGGCTCTAGGTAACCCTTATGAGTATAACATAATATTATTCAACTTCATATAATGCTTTACAACACGTACAGTGCCATATGATGCACTGTTTCTTAGCAATGTGTAAAAGGTATGGTTGTCCTCACAGTCCTGAGTTTCCAAGCTGTGCGTTTTACAAGAAGTATTAACCCAATAACTGGTTGACTCATGTGACTTTCCATCCCTCTGACTTAAAAGGGAAAACTGAAACATGACTTCCTATTTCTAAGATACTTATAATAATATGTGTCTTGACAAGCGTGACAATCCCTCTATGACTGAAAAGTAATATTTTACTGCAGTTCTCCAAATGGCCTTTAAGGTGGCAGTATTGTATAAATTAGACATTTAAATGAAATATTCTTACCTTGCAAGATTTTCAATGATCAGGAATACATTAGTGTTTTACTTGAAGTTGATATCATAACCATAAAAAAAAAAAGTAGTGACAATGTTGGTCATAATGACCTTGATTTTGCCAAACGATTTGGGTTCTACGCAGTTTCCTCCTGATGAGGTTTGAACAATGGTTGTGAAAATAATGAAAACGTAACCTTTTTAACCTGCACAGTTGTGCCTGTTTTCATTCCAAGTGAACCCTGAGTGACACAGACCCTGCGGTTAATCCCCTCCCTGTTTGGGCATGTGTGTGTGTTGTGTGCATCATTCATGCCCGACCCGTGCCTCATGCATTTCTCCATGTTTCTCCATGCTGTGTGTGTTTGTGTTTGTTGGTTTGTGTGCGTGTGTGTGTGTTTCTCAGGAAGCGTGCCTGGCATGAGGCCTGCTGAAGCTGGAGAGTTCACACGGAGGGCCTTTCAAGCAGGGAAACTGGATTTAACAGAGGTAGGTCAAGAAGAGAATGTAAAAACAAAGAGACAGGTCTCTGCAGATGGCATACCAAGAGCCTTTCAGAGTATTTTAAAAGGTAAATGTGGAAGAAAGAGGGTAAACAATGAACAGGGATTTCAAGTGTAAGCATATCAACAATGAAAATATTCAGTTTTTCAATTGGCTATCTAATAATGGATTCCGTAGATGGTGATGTTCTATTCTCTAAGTATACAGCTATACTGTGAGCTCTGGACAATATGTTTACAGTTTTTAACTTTTTAATACAGTTTATTATTTATTCAATCTATATTATTTATTGACATAGGCCTTTCAACAATTGTCCTGTAGTCAAAAAATGATGTGCTTGCCGCACAGAAAGTTAACAATTACAAGTTCTAGTCAAGACTGTAAAGTTGATTTAATAAAAAGACTGACTTATATAATCAAATGAATCTCTTCCTTCAAAATAAGTAATGGAAACGTTCCTAATCCTCACAGTTAGTCAGAATTAAAACAGTCGTGCTATAGATAAATAAAAAATGTATAGCAGTTATAACTATTATATTGCTGTGTGCAGGTGGAGGGGCTCGGAGATCTGATCCATGCTGAGACGGAGGCTCAGAGACGACAGGCTCTGAGGCAGATGTCAGGAGAGCTGGGACACCTTTATCAGGACTGGACCCACAGACTGAAACGGGTAGGTGATCCGATGGACAACGGTGGTGGGTTAGACAGTGGTTTCCAACATCCCACTGAGGCAGGGTGGTGTGCAAAATGTCTGGATCTCTGGGCTTGAGGGTGTAGGTGTAGCATTTGTGGCAGTAACTGCAGTTGCAGTTTGCTTTTAATCTGACTTGAACAATATTGTAACACTTTGGATTCATCTTAGTCTCCAATGCTACAAGGCCTGAAGTTGAGGTTTTCTTCCTATTACATACTGTCACGGCTTGGCTCTCAGCCATAACAAACGCAGCGATGAGACGATGACGTGAGTATGGAAAAAAGAGGAGTTTGTTCACACTCCCCAAAACAACTGACCACCAAACAGGGTTAACAAGCACTATGCAGGAGGATAGCTGTTCCGGGCTGCTCTTCCTCCTACGTTCCCCGGGCAGAGAGAGAGCCACTGCAGCCTACTTAGATCCTTTATGGAGGCGCTGATCAGATTGGGAGCACCTGGAGAGAGGCTGCACCTGGATACAATCAGGGAGAGAGAAGCACACACACCCACACACAAAGGCACACCCACACCAGCATAGGCAGTGAAGCAGGGGTCGTCACACATACTGTTAAAACAAAAATATAGATGTTTCTGATGTTTGGAGGTGGTGTAATGAAACTGAATTGATCTTTACTACAGAACACCATGAACCTCCATTTTCTAAAGAAAGTTTGGATGTTGGGGTAAAGTCTTAAAATCGTCAGTTGTCTCACACCAAGTTCCTTTCTTTTTGTGCTCTTGCCTGAATGAATGTGACTTGATGTGCTGTGCTTATGTTCTTTGGCTTCATGTTGACTCAAACCCAACAGTACTTGTTTTTAAATGACAAATGCACATAGCCTCTTTGGACCATTCTGTTGTTATATCCAATGCTGAGACGTTTTGGTAGCGGGAAACAAGTCGTCGCCTGCTGGAGTTTCCTCTCCTGGAGAAGATTTTGTCCATGTTCATGTGCTGCAGGTCAGGCTCTCAGTAGTTACATGCACACCCAAACTGAGCTTTCCAACACAGTGTTGATGATATTCATTGGGTCTCTCACTTCTTCCGTGTTTCCGATGTTGCTGAAGAGACATTATTGAAAACCCAAAAGCACTATTTGTACTAGTACATGTGTAAACAGGCCGGACTGGGAACAATAGCTGTGAAACGCTTCTATGAGTATTGGCCGTAGCCTTCTAAGGCTATCGCGTATTGGGTAGATCCCCCTGCGCACGCCGCGCAGCACTGAACACTTGTAGTCCACGCGCCACCCGCAAGTGGGCCCCACCCTCGGCTCCCTTCCGGAATAAATAGGAAGGAACCCGGGCAATGCTGCCTCCCAGCACAAAAACGAAGCGATTTTGCGTCAGCTGTGATTCGTGGAGCCAGCTGGGGGCCCAGCACTTAGAGGCTACGCCAATACTCAACAAAGAAGCTGAGAGTTACAGCCTAGGTTAACTTCAGTTTCTATTTCGTATATGGCTCCCTCACCCTTCTAAGGCTATTGATATTGGGTTAAGGTGAAAGCATGATTGTAGTCTGCGCCCCACTGGGTCTTCCCGGGCACTAGAAGCACAGACACACCTGCTCATACAACCCATCGCCTATTGCGCCATGCGTAATGGCGCCATCACCGTCCTGGAATATTAGCATTAACATGAATATTCTCCATGAAGGGGACGAAGCTGCGGGCGAAGATACATACCTGCCGCTGTGAAAAGTAGAGAAGGCCATACTTTGCCCAGTGACAAAAAGAGGGAACAGCAGCTCTCTGCGTGCAGACAGCAGGAGAGCGCACAGCTGGATCGTCTGACGTCATTCACTCTGACCAGACACTCCGTACAAAATGTGTCAGAGGAAAAGGAACATCCCTCTCATAAGAGGGGAAAAGGGCCCACTCCCGCGTGCGAGAGAGCGCACAGCTGGATCCCTGACGTCACTCACTCTGACAAGACACTCCGTACAGTGGCGGTGTGGTCAGAGAGAATGGGAGACATCACTCCAAATACAATGAATAAATGAACAGGGGAAGACCCAAGATGCAGCACGTGCACATGTCTTTATACTGACATTCTCCGTTGCAAAGCCTATGGAGGAAAACATTCCTCTGGTGGAGTGCGCACTGATGTTCTCCGGGATCCACGCCCAGAGCGAGACATATGCCTGTGACACAGCCCTCACACAGCCAAATTCAAATCAAATCAAGTTTATTTATATAGCACATTTATAAACGATTTTGCCGAGCCAAGTGCGTACATATAATAAAAATAAGCCCTACAGTAGAAGCACTTTCAGCAAATACAACAGCACAGATTATTCAGAATATCACGTATGAGAAAAAACGACACCCACTATCCTAGACCCTCACATTCGTACAAGGAAATGAACTCCCGAGAAAGCCCACAGTTTAAGGGGAAAAATGGGAGAAACTCAGGGAGAGCAACGAGAGGAGGATCCCTCTTCCCAGGACGGACGACGTGCCAATAGATGGCCGTGTGTAAATCAAAGAGATAATACATTTTACAGCATATAGACCGAATGTTAGGAAATGCATGTGTCTGTAATAAGAAGATGAATCTACCGAAGATGTCAGCTACAATCCTGTGGAAGCCATCAGGGAAGCAGCATGACGAGACCCAAGGCAGGACGAGAGACAGGTTCAGCCACGACCCGAAGCCACGACTCAATCCAGAACTCAGAATAGAGGATCCAGGACAAAGGACCTACAGGCAACGAGGAGTCAGCCTCGACTCTGGATCCCGGCGTCGATA